TCGATTTAACCGATCAGCCGATCAGACGCTGACCAGCCGATCAGCCGATCAGCCGATCAGCCTTATCGGCTGATCGGCTGATCGGCTGATCGGCTGGTCGACCGCTGATCGGCTGATCGGCTGGTCGACAGCTGATCGGCCGATCGGCTGATCGGCTGGTCGACCGCTGATCGGCTGATCGGCTGATCGGCTGATCGGCTGGTCGACCGCTGATCGGCTAGTCGGCTGATCGGCTGGTCGACCGCTGATCGGCTGATCGGCTGCCGTCCAGTTTCGCCTGAGACATTCTTGCAGCTCCGGGCTAAGAGGTCCCCTGACCCGAAGTGGTCGGGCCAGCCTCGCCTGCGACATCCTCGCAAATCCTGGCTCAGATATCCCCTGACCTGGGGTGGTCGGGCCAGTCTCGCCTGAGACGTCCTCGCAACTCCAGGCTCAGAGATCCCCTGCCCTGAGGTGGTCCAGCCAATTCTGTCCGAGACATCCTCGCAACTCCGGGATCAGAGATCTCCTGGTCTGAGGTGGTCGGGCCACTCGGGCCTGAGACATCCTCTTCCTAATATATTCTCCTCCGTCTCCTTCCAACCCCTCCCCTCGTCCTCATTATCCTCCCTCCTCCGCCAGTTTTGCTTGAGACATCCTTTAAATGCTGGGTTCAGAGAGGCCCCGCACGAGGTGGTTCAGCCAATTCCGTCAGACATTCTCGCAACTTCGGGCTCAGATACCCCCTGACCTGAGATGGTCAGGCCAGTCTCGCCTGAGACGTCCTCGCAATTCCAGGCTCAGAGATCCCCTGCCCTGAGGTGGTCCAGCCAATTCTGTCTGATACATCCTCGCAACTCCGGGCTCAGAGATCCCCTGGCCTGAGGTGGTCGGGCCACTCGGGTCTGAGACATCCTCTTCCTAATATTTTCCTCCTCCGTTTCCTTCCTACCCCTCCCCTCGTCCTCATTATCCTCCATCCTCCGCCAGTTTCGCTTGAGACATCCTTTAAATGCTGGGCTCAGAGAGGCCCCGCACGAGGTGGTCCAGCCAATTCCGTCAGACATTCTCGCAACTCCAGGCTCAGATATCCCCTGAACTCCGGGCTCAGAGATCACCTGGCCTGAGGTGGTCGGGCCAGTCTCTTCTCAGACATCCTCCCATCTTTGGGCTCAGAGATGCTCCGCGCGAGGTGGTCCAGCCAATCCCGCCTGAGACATCCTCACTCCTTCTCGTCCCTCTCTCTCTCTCTCCTCCCTCCCCCTCCTCATCATCCTCCTTCTAATGTGCTCTTCCTCCGTTTCCTTCCTATTCCTTTCATCCTCGTCCTCAGTCTCCTCCGTCCTCCTCGCCCATCTCTCTCCCCCCCTCCTCCCAATCCCCCTCATCACCCTCTCTCTTCTAATCTGTTCATCCTCCGTCTCCTCCCTCTCCCTCCTCTTTGTCCTCCTTCTCCTAATCTCCTTTTTATCCTCATCCTCGTCCTCATCCTCCTCATCCTCTTTTTATCCACATTGCAGGCATTTAGCCCAAATGGTGCTCAATCCAGTGGGGTACTGCCTCCATCGGGGTGGATGAGGGCCCAGACAGCAAACACCAAACACGTTGCGTGGACGCAGATGGCAAGCCATGCTGTCGCGCCTATGGGGGTCATGAGCTGCCAGGGCACAGGCTTGACGGGCTCCGCAGAGGGTCGATGAACATCCGCAAGCGTCTCGGAGCTGGTAGCCTATTCCAACGCCGCCGCGGTCAGCACCGTCGAGAACATCCACGGCGCGGCCGCGGCAGAAGCTTTCTTTGACAAAGTGTCCGTGGACCCGGCAGTGTTGCAGCTACTGCAGGATTCGGCGATATGGAAAATCATACTCAGCTAACATGGCGCGGTGCTTGTTTACATTTCCGAGCCGTGCGTGCCCCTCCACTTTGCTGGCGTGCCCCTCCGCTTTGCTTGCGCTTTCCCTGCGTGCCTTTCCGCTTTGCCTGCGTGCCCTACCGCGCCGCCTGCTTTGCCAGCCCCCGTGCCCGCTCGCCGCATGTTTTTTATCGATGCGGCCGTGAATGCTTGGCTCCGCGGCCTGTGAGTTGGGCCTCCTTCTCCTGATCGCTGGGAGGACCCGCAGTGGTCAGAACACGCGAGGGGGGAGAGCAACTACCAGATGAACGACGCGGACATGTGTTGTAGTGGCTTTCGGCCAGTGCCGCCGATCCGGGTCGCTCGGGGTTATTCTCCAGACGCAGACATTATGGCGCACACTCAAACGCACACGCGCAGTCACACCACCCAACCCGCGCCGCAGACATGGGGGCCTGTCAGGGCGTTCTGGGGGGCTTCTCGGAGACTTTTGTGGGCCCTTTTGGGAGCTCTTAGGCGTCTGGGGGCGTTTTTTGGGGCATCTTAGGGGCCTGTCAGGGCGTCCTGGGGCGCTTCTTGGAGGCTTTTGGGGGCCCTCTTGGGAGCTCTTGGGGCCTCCGCTTTTTCCGCTTTTCGTCCCTCTTTGGGGTCTTCTTGGGGACGCTTGGGGGGGCTCTTGGGCCGTCACCCCGCATCCGCCGGAAACTCGCCCCCCTCCCCCCCCCCCATCCCCCCTTCCCCGGCAGAGCCACCCCGGCAACCCCCCCAGAGGCTGAGGCTCAGCCTCGAGGGTGTAGCTGAGACCCCTTGAAACTCACACGCCGGATCGGCGGATTTGTTCAGCGAGTTCATTGGTGCACGCTTGAACGTCCATCTTCTGTCTGTGTGGGCGACCCGGCTGTGGTTCAACTGCGACGGCGGCGTTGGGTGCGCCCAGGCAGGTTGCGCAGCAGAGGCCGGGGGGGAGATGGCCGAGGGTCGCGAGTTAGACTTGGCCGCCTTGTACCGCGCGGCCAAAAAGTGCCCCGTGCAGCAGGTTTATCCTCGGTGCCAGTGCCACTTGCTTACTGCCGAGGCGAAGCGTCGGGGCTTGCGCTCAGGCAAGGATGCCGAGGGCGAGGGCCAGCTGCGCATGCTGGCCAAGATGCTGGACGCGCTCTTGCGTTCGCGGGCTTTCTCGGGCGCAGCCAGAGCGCTGGATGCAAGTCGTGGGCGCTGCGTGGCCTGAAAAAAAATAATATATATATAATATATATATATATATAATATATATTATTATTATTGTGTTCTTTTCTCTCTTTCCCTCTCTCTCTCTCTGAGCACATCGAGTATACATAAATGCCTCTCTTATTGTTTGCAGCCGCGACGGCGTTGTTCGGATCGCGGCGGCGCAGGCCCTCTTCGCGGGTGGCCAGCGGATTTCGCGAGGCCCCAGCCAGCCCCGCCCCCGGGAACCATGCCAGGGCAGTCTGGGGGCAAATTTTGCGTGTGCCATGAACCCCATCAAAGCGAGATGTAGGCGTATCAGTTGAAAATTTATACGCCAAGCACGCCCTGTAGAAAACAAGTGGCGGTATACACCGAACATGGTGCGCGCCGATCACCTGGGCTGGGTTTCGCCGCCGGGGGCGGGGGCGGCTGGGGTCCGCGGAATCCGGCTCCTTCTGGCGGGCAAGTCGCGGCGAGTTTGCGCGCGCGTGCCTGCGCCCGAGCAGCCGCGCGCATGCTTCCACGCGGCGCGGGGGAGACGATAAAGTTGCCGAGTTCTTTTGAAGCAGGAAAGATAGATATGTATATTGGATGTCCCCCCATTTTTTCTTTTCTTCTTTTGTTTTCTTTCTTTTTTTCTTTTTCTTTTATTTATTTATTTATTTATATATATATATATAAAAACATATATATATATATATATAGTTTATATATTATTAATATTATTTTCATTATTATCATCATAATTATCTATATATATATAAACAAATATGAATGATCGAGGCAGGCGAGAACTTTGACACTGTCCTGAGGAAGCTGCTGGTCCACGCATAATGGCGCCGCGTGGCGACCCGACGTGGCGACCGGGTGCGGGGGGCGCACCGATGCAAAACTGGTCATGCCCGTGGTGCGCATGGTTGTGGATTTCCAGTGACGTTAGCAGATAGCCGAGCAGCGTGTCCCAGGGCGCTGGCGCTGCAGACCGAGAAGCACGGCCTCGTCCTCGCCGCGCGCGTCTTCCTGCTGCGCTTGCTCCAGAACTTCAACCGGGTGTTCTGCGGTCGGGCCTCTCGCCGAGCTATTGCTGAGTACTGCGGTGCAATTTGCTGGGCCTTCTCAGTGGGCTCGCGCGCGCTCTGGCACCTGTCGGCAGTGCCCGGCAATGGCGCGCTGAGGGCTTTCATCTGCGACGCCGTGGAGAACTACTTGGGCCCGCTGGCAGAGCACGTGCGGAAACGCGTCAACGTCTACAGCGGCTCCGTCGTCTGCGTGAGTTCAGCGTGATATTGGCGTGGGTTGACGTGGGCGGCGCGCTGCTCAAGCCCGTCGTTGCCAGCGCAGCCGAGGACCTTGCCGACCTGCTCCCCGACTTCGACGACGTCGTCCCCAGCCTCAAACGCGACCGCTAAACAGCGGGCTTGGGCCTGGCCGCCAGCGCGCCGATTTGCCACTGCGCGGGCGTGCACTGCAAGCATCGGCTCAAGCTCGCCGAGTTGTATGTGGGCAAGTACCCCGAGCAGACACTATCGTTGTTGCCGACGCGCCAAAAGCCGATGGTTCGCAGGCCGCGGATCGCATCAGCGAGCCCCTGACGGCCATCGCTGGCGACCCCGTCCACGACGCCGCTGCCTCGGCTCGCGCTCGCCCCCTGGGCGGGCCCGGCTCGGGGTGCGGACTGTAGGTCGATCGGCAGTAGGTCGGAGGCAATTGTAGATCTGGCCGATCCCCAATCGCGTCGATCGGCTCCGAGATCCACGCCCTGGCCGACTTGCGGCGCTCGGTGCCCGGCCGATCTGGATCTCCCTGGCCGATCGATCTCCATCGCGGGTCGTCTGAGGTCATTGCGTTGCGGCGCTGCGTGGGCCCGTCGTGCAACGACTGCCGCGACTTCATTCGCGACCGCCCGGACATTTTGTCACGTCTGTCAGCGCCGCCTCCTGGCGCGCCGCCTGCCGGGCAGGCGCCCGCGCGCCCGCGCTCCCGGAATCTCTCTGCGGCGGGCGTTTCGCTGCTCGGGGCCGCAGTCGAGAAGACAGTGGCGGCGTTCCAGGCAGGCGTGGGCGCAGATGCCGACGGGGCTGCGGACCTTCGACGCTTCCTGCAGTTGCCGAAGGTGTCCAAGTGCCGCCTCTGGAAGAAGTAGTTCGGCGCGTACCCCCCGCGGGGGGTGGTGTCGCGCATCGCGCGGCGCGCCGGGGTTCAGGTGGGCCCGTCCAGGAGCTTTCGCGGGTGCGCCCCCCCCAGGAGTTCAAGGCTGAAGTCCGCAGGATGGCGAGGTGGCGCAAGCCGGGCCGTTGCTCCACCCGCAGGCGTCGGGGGATTACCTGCGACAGGAAGCAGCCCGGGCGCGTCCGTGGCCTTCGCGGCGTCTGGGCCGTCAAGGTCCGAGCGCATTGCCGCCGCTTTCTGAAGCCGCTCAGGGTTGAAGGCCTGCGGGCCCGGCGGTCGGCGGCGCTGGCGATCCGCTCCGCGGGCGTGCCCGTTCAATCGGGCGCCGTGCCTGTGGAGCACTCGTGGGAGTGTCTCAAAGGGATGCTCCCGCGAGGCGCCCGCGCAGTATCGCTTCGCTGGTTCAATGTCTTCAGCCAGCTCGCTTTCTTGAGGTTCAATAGCCGGCGCTGCGGGGCGGGGTGCCTGCCCGCGTGGGCAGAGCGGGGCTCCCTCTTGGCCCAGCGCTTGGAGATCGTCGTCATGCTCGGAGTTGAGCTCGACGAGACGGAAGGCGCATCCTTCGACCGTCCCAGGCATCTTTTCGCACCTTTCCCTTGACCGAGCTCGCCATCGCGCTGGCGTCTGCCGCCGCCCGCGCGGGCCTTGGCTGGCTTGCGCAGACATTCTTTCTGCCTTTGGCCTGGATGTATTTTGGGGCTAGGGCGCGCCCTGGGAGCGGGTAGCTCTGGCCCGCGGGGCGCGCAATTCGAGCGACGCTCGGCATCTGCATGCATGTTTGAACGTTTTCGGAACCGCGACCTGCGGGGCAGGTCGCAAAGAGCAGCTGCCGCTCTGCATCCGCGAGCAGAGTGCAGCCACGTGCGCGCAGAGACCGAAAATGCACGCGCCGGGGTGGTCGCAGTCGCTAGCGCCGTCGCCGAAGCAGGGCGGCGATGACGATGACTATGGCGGTAATCGGAAGTAGAAGGCAGGAGGGGGGTGCAGGAGCGGGAGGGGGAGGAGGAGGGCAAGGAGAAAAAAAGGAAGAAGGAGAAGCCAAACTCTGGGACGAGCCTTGCGGTTCAAACAAAAACCGTAAGGAAACCCCGTGCGTCACCCCTGAATTGCTCCAAACACAGTACGTTTTCACCCATATACTTGCGACAAGATCGTGCGCCCCCGTGCGCGCGGAAGTATCGGGAAGTGGCCGGCCGAGGAAAATAGGAACAAAATGATGGGTTTACGAAGAAAAAGGGGGTTACGCACGTGAGAAACACAGTGCGTGTTCACGCGCCCGCGTGCGTGCGCAACCCTTCGGGAATACATCCCGGTAAACTAACACCGGCTCTCGCGGCGATGCGTCTTCGACCGCGTTCGACCGCGTCTTGCTTGAGGCAGACAAGGGGAAACATTGGGGGGGGCGGAAGGGGAGAGGCGGAGAGGGAGATACTATGGAGATGGGAACAAGGGAGGAGGGAACTGTCAAAGAGGAGCGGGAAGAGGAGTCAGCAGGACGGCTGGGCTTGCGAGGCATCTCGGCGTGGCTCTTGTTCTTGCCCCATCATACTTCTAAGTTCCCTCTTGCTGGTGCATGTCCTGCGATTTATTGTTATTGGGAGCCTCTTGGCACCATTTTGGGTTCCTCCTCGCGGGCCTCTGGGCCCTGGAAGCGTCCCTGGCGGTTTCGGGGGCCATCGAAGACGCCTACGGCGAACCACCGCCGCCCCTTGCATTTTGGAAGCCATGTTGGAAACGCCTATGTGGCCCAACGTGGGGCCAGAACTGGGCCAAGTTATTGGACCATGCGTTCCGCCAGCCGTTGTGGGAACCTTTCGGGGAATACTCGGAAGGAGGAAGGGGGAGAGCAGGAGGAGAATGGAGGAGAGAGGAGAATGGAGGAGAGAGGAGGAGGAGAGAGGAGGAAGAGAGGGAGAGGGAGAGAGGAAAATGGAGGAGAGAGGAGGAGGGCTCTTGGGGACCTCTTGGGGACCTCTTGGGGGAGTCCTGGGAGCTCCCCGGCGGCCTCTTCGAGGCCTCCCGGGAGCCTCCTCGGGCTTCTTGGGGGGGCCTCTGGCAGCTTCTCGGGGGCCTCCTCGGCCGTCTTTTGGGCGTGCCTGGCCCGTGCGACGCCGTCGGGAGTTGCCTTGGAGGCCCCTCTGAACCCACTTGGGGCCCTCTGGGGGCGCTTCGGGGCCGTCTTGGAGTCCACATTGGGCGCCTTGGCGACCTCTTGGGCCGTCTTGGGGAGGATCGGCGGGTCAGCCGATCCGCGGGCGGCCAGCCGATCAGCCGATCAGCCGATCAGCGGTCGACCAGCCGATCAGCCGATCAGACGCTCACCAGCCGATCAGCGGCTGATCGGCTGGTGAGCGTCTGATCGGCTGGTGAGCGTTTGATCGGCTGATCGGCTGGAGTCGGATAGCACCCCCCGGGCGCCGCCGCCCTGCCACATCCGCCGACGCCTCTATAGACTACTGCGCGGCCGGGGCTGCATTCCACGAGGGCTCGTCCGAGTCCTGGCGGAGCTCCTCGGGGCGTCTGGGGGCTCCGTTCGGGCTCCCCGGGGGCTTCTGGGGGGGGTGTTCGGGGGCTTCTTGGGGCAACCCGGGGGCGTCCTGGGGCCGAAGGCTGGGAATGTGGGTTCGGGTTCCCCCCTGTGGGCCCTGTTTTGCAAAGGTTGGGGGGCCCTCTGGGGCCGTCATCGGGGCTTGATTATGATGCTGATGCTGATGTTGCTGATGTTGATGATGTTGTTGATGATGATGATGATGATGATGATGTGGTGGTGGTGGTGGTGATGATGATGATGATGATGATGATGATGATGATGAGCCGGAGGGGGGGGATGATGATGATGATGATGATGATGTTGATGATGATGATGATGATGATGATGAGGAGGAGGAGGAGGAGGAGGAGGAGGAGGAGGAGGAGGAGGAGGAGGAGGAGGAGGAGGGGGGGGAGGGGTAATTAGGAGGGTGAGGAGGAGGAGGAGGAGGAGGAGGAGGACCGCCCAGAAGGAGGAGGGAGCCTTCTCCAGAAAACTCTGAAAGCCCTTGAAAGCATTAGACTCACTCCGTTGTTCTTCTCCGCCTCTGCCTTTTTGTCCCCTGTGCTCTGCTCTTTCTGGAGGTCTCCGATGGCCTTTGCAGAAGGCCTGGAGAAGTCCCGAGAGACTGAAGAGACAAAAGCACACAACCATCTGGACCTTCCATCCACAGTCATCCGTATGAGCAGGGAGAACATCGCCACACACCTTAGGAGACGTTGGTTTGTATGGAACTGCTGGGAAATATTGGGAAATTGAGGAGAAGAGGAGCATCCGGGACAACCCTTGGCATCGCTCAGACGTGTGCATTTTTTCTTCGGCGAGGACCATCGAGGAGCATCCTTCATCATTTGGCGAAAAAACCATGCACGAAACCGAAAAAAGCACAAGGAATGGACGTCCGAGCGATGGCCAGAACCTGGTCCCCTTCACCATCGTGCTCCTCCTGCCCCTCCGGACTGTCTTCGACCGCGACGGCGGCGCGCGGCGACCTCGCCAGCGGCGGCACAGCGAGGCGCCGGCGGCTGCGCCGTGGCGCGCCGCCGCGCCCTGGGCGAGGCTCGGCGGCGGGTCCAGCGCCGGCGGGCACGCGCAGGGATCAGGTGCCGAGGGGCGCTGCTCTCGCTGTGGAGGGAGCGGGGGTCCCGAGGAGGAGGAGGAGGAGGAGGAGGAGGAGGAGGAGGAGGAGGAGGAGGAGGAGGAGGAGGAGGCGGAGGAGGAGGCGGAGGAGGAGAGGAGGAATGTAAAACTCACGATTCCCCATCGATGTTGCAATCTACCCTCTTTCCAAACTCCCTCTTCAAAGGCCCCCGACGCGGGTTCATTGCCACTGAAGGAAATGACCCCTTGGAAACAGTCGTTTGCAAATCCTGAACTGTAGAGGAGCGCCATTCCTGGGATTTCGATGCCGCGGATCACCGTTACTGCTGGGTCTGGACGATCCTGAACTGTGCCACAACGCCATTTCTGGGACTTCAACACCACGAATCAACGTCGCTGTTGTGCCCTGACAGTCCGACTCCTGGCAAAACACAATTTCTGGGATGTTCACCATGATATTCCTTGAAAGTGTTGTGAACTCTTCAGACGAATGTGCGCCGCGCTAAGGCGAGAGCCGCATTTGCATTCGAAAAACGATAAAGAGTGCGCGCGGCGCCAAGGCGAGAGCCACATTTTGACAAAGAGCCGCCTTCCATCCGTCACAATCTTGCATTTTTCCCCACACCTCCTGCCTCGGGTTCTCGTCTCGAGTAAGAGCACTGTGGTCTCCACTCCTCCCTCCTTCCCCCCCCTGGGCCTCCTGCCTCCTGTCCTCCTCTTCCTTTTCTTCCTCCTCCCGTCTCTCCTTCGTCATGCTTGCGTTGCAGCCCCGTTGTGACTCTGCCTCTCTCGTGTGCTCCTGGGAGGGGGAACCTTGCGGCTCCCCTGGGGGGCTACGAAGTGTCAAGCTGTCGCCAGTCTTGTGGGCTCCTCTGAGGCTCAGCGGAGTGGAGTTAAAAATTCACCCAGCCGAGACCTCGCGGCTCCCCTGCGGTGGCTGCAAATTGCGCAATTGTCGCAGCTTTCGTGGGCTCCTGGGAGGTCCAGCAGAGTGGAGTTGTGAACAAACTCAGCCGAGACCTCGCGGCACCCCCGGAAGGCTGCGAACTGCGCAACCTTCGCCATTTTCATGGGCTCCTGGGAGGCCCAGCGGAGTGGAGTTGTAAACACACCCAGCCCGAGACCTCGCGGCTCCCTGGGGGTCTGCGAAGTGCGCAGCTGTCGCCACTTTCGTGGGCTCCTGGGAGGCCCAGCGGAGGGAATTTGTACACACACCCAGTCGAGACCTCTCGGCTCCGTTGGTGGGCTGCGAATTGCGCAACCGTCGCCCATTTCGTGGGCTCCTGGGAGGCCCAGCGGATTGGAGCTGTAAAAGCACCCAGCCGAGACCTCGTGGCTCCCCTGGGTGGCTGCGAACTGCGCAACAGTCGCCATTTTCTTGGGCTTCTTGGAGGTCCAGCACAGTGGAGCTGTAAACACACCCAGCCCGAGACCTCGCGGCTCCCTGAGGGGTCTGCGAAGTGCGCAGCTGTCGCGACTTTCGTGGGCTCCTGGGAGGCTCAGCGGAGTAGAGTTGTAAACGCACCTAGTCGAGACCACGCGGCTCCTTGGGGGACTGCGAATTTCGTAATCGTCGCCTATTTCGTGGGCTCCTGGGAGGCCTAGCAGAGGGGAGTTGTAAACACACCCAGTCGAGACCTCGCGGCTCCGTTGGTAGGCTGCGAAGTGCTCAATTGTCGCCACGTTCGTGTGCTCCTGCCACGTTCGTGGGCTCCTGCGGTCCGGTGTATCGTCGCCACATGTGAAGAAAGGGTTGGGTACGTCGCAAGGTAATTTAAAGACGAGTGTGCGCGGCGCTGAGGCGAGAGCCACATTTCGAAAACCATGTGTCCTCAAGCCGTGAAGTTCTTGCAAATATTTAACGCGGATGTGCACGGCGCTGAGACGAGAGTCACATTGTGAAAACGACCCGCTATCCATCC